CTACATCCCTGACGCAAACCACGAAAACTACGTAAATACCATGGAATTCGTGCCTTCCAATGTACGCAGCAACAACTCAACCACGTAATGTCCGGAGAACTTCGGGGATTGCGCGTTAGGGTTTAGGGTTTAGGGTTTAGGGCTTAGGGTTTAGGGTTTAGGGGTTAGGGCTTCGGGGTTAGTGGGCTCAAGAGCAGAAAAGCCGATGCCTGCCCCGTAGGTCTCCGCCATAACGTTTGCTGCCTCCTGGCTGCCACGAAGGGTTTCGGATTTTACAGGGGTTCAGGGGTTTCGGTTTTTTTTTTGCAGGGTCTATAGGGTTTAGGGTGGAGTGTAGGGCTTACGGCTTTGGGGTGCTTGCTTGGGGCTTTTTGTCAGGATGCGGGGTGCAGGGGGTATGACGGGTTTGTCTGGAGACGTGCGGGGATTTAGCTTCTGGTTACGCGACAGCAATGTCGGTTTCGGCAATTGCGTATAGTATATAAGGGAGGTGAATGTTATCGCGATGGTATGTGTGTCATAGTCATAGTAACTGTGCTGCGTCGAGAAATGCGAAAGCACATGTGCAAAGAGACAGCAGCAACAGCAAGAAACGACAAAGACGAGCAACAAGGACGGCAGGATTTGCAAAAGCTATGGTGCCCACAGCAATGATGAGACCCACTCTTGCGCAAGCAAGCCAGCCCCACTCCGGAAGCGACATGGAAATAACCACCCTGAACCCTAAACCCTAAACCCTAAACCCTAAACCCTAAACCCTAAACCCTAAACCCTAAACCCTAAACCCTAAACCCTAAACCCTTACTCTGAATCTGTCCTCTGGCAACTGCCAGCTGCAGGGCCAGTTGCTGTGCCCCTGGCAACACGGAAATCTTGGGCTGGAAAAGGCAGACCAAGATAGGGGGATACTGCTGAGGTGCGTGGTGTGTGATGGACAAGAATGCTTGCATTGTCACATGGGCCCAACTTCCTCCTTTCTCAGACCACCGGTATCGCAGCTGGCTGCTGTCCAGGTTGTTTGCCTGCACAAACCACACATTGAGGTGCACCACTGGTACTCCGCCAGTCATGAGTTCGGGTTCAGGCACGCCTTCTTCAGGCCTGCACGCCCGAGGCAGGCTTGCAGCTTGGAAAATCAGAGGCGCAGGCTTGGGCCTCAACATGGAAAAAACTCTGACAGTCCAAAAGGCCACGAGGCAAGCTTGGGGAGCAAGGGACTGTCTGATGAGGCTTCTTCAGCCATGTCGCGCCCTCTTTATTTCGACGCGTGTAGTTTCCTCAATCTCATCGTCTGTCTGGTATGCCTCCTCCGGCTCGAAGTCTTGTGGAGTGAGCGCAATCTCAGCTTGCCACAAACCAATGTCGGCACAATTCATGTGGAACTGTTTTCTGCTGATGGCATTCTCTTGGAGAAAGTCAACTATCAGATGATTGCTGTCGCACATGCTGTAGGCGCCTACATAGAGAAGCCAACCTTTTTTGATGGGCTTGGTTGCGACAATAACATTGTCCTTTGCTGGGTAGCCCTCCTCCACGCTTGAAAAACAAGCTTCCCCATCAGGGACATCTTTCAGAAGGGCACCCTCGACGTAGAATGACATGATCTTGCCACGGATCTGCTGGGTCTTGACAGACTGTTCTGGGAAAAGGCGCAGGACCTGCTGCCTGTTCTTTTCGTGTACCCCGAATCCGTGTGCGGACTTGCCACTTGTCCACTTGATCTCATCCGCAAAGGCCTCCCTGTACGTGAACCAGCGAGCGCCGTTCTGCACTACAACGATCCCACCCACATCAACGAAAGATCGAAGGATTGGCAGGACGGAGTTTCTGAAACTCTGTTTTGATCGATGTACAGTGCCAGCGATAACTACCGATGTGAAGACTTTGCTTTTGATCAGTTGCATGGCCAACTGCTCGTTCTCAATATCTGCACGAACGGCTCCACTGGCTTTCCAGAACGCAGCCAAGGTTGCATTGTCAGGGCGTCCCTTCCCAAGCAACTCGGGCGTGCTGTAGTGGAAGGAGTCGCTGTCATCGAGAATCAGGGTTGGGAAAGCCCTGGCCCAGGGCAGTCCGTTGCAGATATCGAACTCCTGCGGATTGGTGCTGGTATCGGGCACACTGAATGCAAAGTCCTCACCTAGAATATCCTCAACCTCCAAGCCCATCAATCGAGCATGATTGATGGGGTCATCGAGCAGGAATTCCGCAATCGACATGTTCTGTTTGCACAGTCTTGCGAAGGCGAGTCACCCTAGATCCTAAACCCTAAACCATAAACCCTATTATAAGGGCCTTAGTAATTAGAATAAGGTTCTGGGGCCCATTATACTAAAGATTACAATTAGGACCCCCCCCCCCCAATAAAAATAAATAGTATTGGGAACTATTTAGGCCCCTACAAAAAGCCCCCAAAAGCCGGAACCTGGGATGATCCGCAAAAGACTTCGACAAAATACCGCCGACATCTCTCCGAAACTTTCACAAAAACCCTCAGAAAAAGAGGGTTTAGGGTTTAGGGTTTACTGCTGACCCCCAGGAGAAGGTAGGGATATGATATGGGACCCTTAACTATACTATGTTTGTATGCATGTATCTGCTATATATCCATTGGGGCCTTTTACCTGTCTTGAACCAGCTGGTCTCCAGCTCTGGAGAAAGCTTTCTCTTCCTGGCCTTGCCTCAGAAATCTTCGTCCTCTAGCCTTAGAGGCTGAGTACCCTAGCCTAAAAAAGGGTTTAGGGTTTAGGGGTTTAGGGTCTAGGGTTTAGGGCTTAGGGTTTACTGTTTAGGGGTGAGTACCCTGGCCTATAAAGGTTAACCGTTTGACTTATAGTAGGGTTATACAAGCCCCAAAAGGTTAAAGGTTATTTGCTCAGCCCCTAAGTAGCTGAGCTACAGAATAAGCGCCTCGTCAACACGATTCTGGAAAGGAGCTGCTGAACAGAAGAAGCCACAACGCAGCGAGCATTTAGGGTTTAGGGGTAGGGGCTTTGGGTTTTAGGGATTTGGGGCTGACAGTTACCCGAGCTAAACCCGATAAAAGCCCTAGGAGTCCGCTGAGAATACATTCTATACAATCTAAATTCTGCGCTGGAAACCTAGCTAACCCGAAGTACCGCCGCTTCTGGTCTCTAGGACGATTTACATGTACCGAAACATGAAACCTTCAAACGCTTCGCCCCTTCAAAGCAGATAGCATCTTACGGTACTGCTTGCAACCATTGGATGTGGATGCTTCTTCTGGCGGCTGAATAGTTGTGAGCAGGTGGGAGACTTAAACATTGGACTCAGGTAGGTTTTACGGTATAAGTGCACGAGGACGATGAGGGGATTTTGCTCGCCAGGTGCACCACGTGTTCATAACACTACATCTTTATAGGAACCATTAGGGTAAGTTACCAATACTAGAGGTTCCTTACTCTAAGTATAGTATAATGGGCCCTCAAACCCGATTCTAATGATTCGGGCCCCTATAAGAGGCAAAGTTCAGTGAACTCCACAAAGTTGAAACATGGATATCGCATTATTGCTCTTTGGGTTCCATAAACCTTACCTTAGATTAAGGGCATGAGGAGAATGATGTTCCAACTTTCTGACGTTTACTTTACCCGTGGCCCAAAAGATCTACTTTTTTTCTAGGAACTACACATATATATATATATGGAAACCGTAGTAAGGAACCCGAAGAAGGTACGTAGGTCTTTCGGCTACCGGTAGTAGCTGCGCGAGTAGAGTTCAGTTAGGGGGCCATGAACCCCAAGCCCGCGACTCGCGACCTAGGCTCCTCAACAAAAACGGTTTAGGGTTTAGGGTTTTGGGGGGTGTATGATACTGTAGTTATTATAAGGAACCGCCCCAAAAAGGTATAGTATAGGTAACTATTCAAGCCCCTAGATTGGCTCTTTCTCACCCATTTACACATTGGCGAATATAGGAATCTGATTAAGACACCCTGGGCCCTTATTGCGGGTGCTCTTTATTATGGACCTGAATATATGGGAGTTGCCGACAATTAGGGTAAACTAGTTCGGGGTCTATCCAACTGCAAGTATGGTTGCAATTGCAATCCCGAGTGTACCAGTAAGTCACCGATGACACTCAACTGTCCCGGCTAGGCCCTATATAAGCCCTGAACCCTAAACCCTAAACGTAGGGTTTGGAGTTTGGCTTCTAGGGCTTAGGGCGTAAGGTCTGGGATTCAGGGGGTAGTTCTCCAAATCAGGGTCCCTTTTTATTTTCGGGTTTAGGGTTTAGGGTTGAAAAGGGTACCGTGCCCTACTATTTTGGGGGCCTACAAGCGAGACACTAATTCCGAGGACTACCCATGTAGGGATATGTTGCCATCAACATTGCGGGGCATGCTGCTGACGATCTCAATCCTGCATTACCTTCAGGACCCTGAACTACGGGAGTTCTGGTATATTCCTTATTATAAGGAATGCAGGATGTATAATATCATCAACAGTAGGAAACAGAACAAGTAGCCCTCAACCGTAGGAGTTTGAGGCAAGCTCGGGGATTTTTCCCCTCAAGCCTTCAGCGCGGCTCCCAGCATCTTTTTGCTGCACACCTTCAGGGCTTTTTGTTCCGGGCTTAGGTGTCAAGGCTTAGGGTTCAAGGCTTAGGGTTTAGGGTTCAGGGCTTTCGGGTTTAGGGCTTTGGTTTCACTGTTCTGTCGTTGCTGTCGCTTCTGTTGCCGTCGTGGCAGCCGTTTTCCGGGCGCTTGTTGCTGCAAGCAGCATCTATATAGACCCTAAACCCCTCTAAACCCCTGCAAGAGTTGATCGGTACAGTTGTGGCTGCAGCGGGAGTATTCTTGACGCTCTTCACGGCTGGGAAGAGCTGTGACGGTTTACAGGAGACTTGCTGTCCCACAACACCCTCAACCCTAAACCCAAAAAAAACCCTAA